TTTCGACTTCTTGTTGAAAACCGCAAGTCCAATTGCTTTGATATATTATACATATAGGTACTACATGTGGACCTCTCTCAGATTTGTTCATTTTCTAATGATATCTTCTGTTCTTTAATTGCCATGTGCATTGCTAACAGCGGAGCTATCTCAGCCGACAGGCTGCTTGCTTTTTTATGCGGTATCTTGGACGTGCTCTGTCAGTTTTCATTCAAATTTGGCACATACATGTACTTTATACATGTTAGGATGCATGTCCATGACAATTTGTTTCAAAATCTGGTCAAGGATGGCCGATTGACAGCCGTCTGACTTTTTGGCCTTACAACTATATTTCCACAATTTATGTACCATTTTCATTCGTATTTGGCACATACATCTTACATATCAGTGTGTTTCATAATCAGATCAAAGATGGCTGAATAACGGCTGTTTTTATTTTGACCATATTACTATGACACGAAACACGTGTTTTGATGTAAATGTTGTATACGCCACTTGGAACTCAAGTTTCAAAGACACGCTCGCGACAACCCCTCTGCTTTAACCCCTCTGCTGACGAGCACAAAGAGAACTTAACGGGGACTGTGTCATTTTCAATGACTTGTTTATTTTTGGCATGAATAACATTTCCCCTAATTCTAACACTGACTTGTTTTTAATATTTTATTTTTGTGCCAGGCAACAGTTTGGAAAATATTATAATATGTCACTGTTGTCTCTTCTGGCTTTTTTATGTGCAAATTACAAGTGCTGACACATCATGTATTTTTGCAACAAAAACCCATAATCATGTTTGGGTCTAAATGACAGGGTTGTGCATCCATTTATCCATCAAATTGCTATTCAATGCATTGTCCTTGTGTCAACCAGGCCCAATTGAACACAAGCACCTGCAAACCTGAACCCAAGGTTATATTTATACTACACTGTCCTTTTCAATATCTAAAACATTCATATTTCTGGGCAAGGTCTCAACTATGTTTTTTTTATTTTTACAGCAAAAAAGCTGTGTACAGGTATTCCACACTGAACCAGGTTGATGAATTAGATAATGAGATTGACCTATTATCTAACGGAGCTAACACAACGATATCCTATCATGATGATTCAGATGAAGATATGTTAGAATGATCGGAAATCAAATAAGTGGGAATATCTACACAGAAATGAACACACACAGCCGTACAAGTTAGTGATCACACCAAGGCTCTCAAAACACTGGTATTCATTCATAGTTTGTAAATTTAAAAAAATACATTATTTAAGTGTTGGATTTGTGGTACTCATCATTACAAATTGTCAATGATTAAATTTATTAATTATTTGAATATTGTTGTACAGGTTTAATCTTTCTTCATTGCAATTTTGTCACTTTTTTCAAATTAATTTTCTATGGGTTCCATATCACAAACAGGGCATGGCGTGACGATCACCTCCTAAAGCTGTGTATTTAAATTGTTGTCCAGTGTGTAGCTTCTTTTAGCCGTAATGATTACAGTTACATTGAAATAAAATAGCTTTATTATTTTAAAGAGATATCAGTGCATTTGAAGAAATGATTACTTTGTTGAAATCAATCACAAAACATGCTTACGCAGTATATATGGGGTTTATTTTTTATTTCACTGTCATAATGCCTCCCTGTGTAGACATTTTCTACTTTAATTATTCTGAACAGACAGGAATACAAAACTTGTTTACAGTTTGAGATAAAGTGCGATGCATGTGTATATTTTACTTTATTTTGTCCTCAGTTGTACATTTGTTGGTTTTAAGTTTTCTACTGTAAGGTAATAGTATATTTACAACTGTGCTATCTGGGTATTTCTGATATTTATGATACTCAAGGTATAATGTGAGGGGAGGGGATGGGAAGGGTAGGGTAGGGGATACTTTTTTAATACATACTTTTTCTTTCTTTTTTTTATTTATTATTGAAAAAACACCTGCTGTGTAACGACTTGTCTTCCAAATAACTTTAGCCAACAGTTTTAAAAAAAGGTTAACTGCAGGAAAATGGGGGACTCTTAAATGTATATATTCTTGGTTGAGGAGGCACCCTTAAGACTTATTTACATAATGTATGTTGAATGAAGATCAATGTTTTCTATTTAGGTGCCTTTTTACATATACCTAGGTGGCCTTGGCTCATACATCTCAGTTTTATGTAGAAAACTTTACATTGTAATAAGCAATATTCAGTAACGGGATAACATTTGTATGACCTGTTTTTTTTTCTGAACTTTTGGTAAACTACTGTACAATCAACACTGTGATTGTAATTGAACTTAATTTAATTTGATTTATAATAATAAATCAATCTAATTAAGGTTAAAGGGAGAAATAAATTTCTATAAATTCTATTGTCTGTGTGTTAATCTGTTGCAGTGTGCTGTGCTTGTTATCGAGATACTGTGATAAAACTATTTTTTTGTGTGTGAGTTAATAGAATCTTTTTTGGTTGATTCAGTAAATAGTGATTTTATTTTTTAAAGAAAATGGACACAGATAGACATAACATTTGCCATGATGTAATCTAGCATTGACAGGCTTAGCAGCAAGTCAGTGTCGTGCCGATGGAGCTTTGTAGAAAGTATGCAATTCTGCCAAAAATAATACTGTGACATCCAAGTTACACCCAAAATGATCATTCAATAAACTGGGTACTCTCATTTTCCCCACAAAATATATAATGCATATAATAATATATAATTGAGTAAGATGCTATCATAAATTCAAAATTATGCAACTGAGAGCTTGCACAGTCAGCTGGCGCACACATGATAATGAAATAAATACGATATTTACTGTAAGGGGGCCGCCATCTTGAATGCAGCATAAAACTAAATAAGAGACAAGTTGTGAAACGCGTTTTTCAGATTCTCACAAATCAGTACAAAAATACAAATCTTTCACAAAAATGCGATCCGTTGAGGTTATATTAAGCCAACCGATAACAAAATTCGGCCGAATTCTGCGTTTTTGTGTGGAAAAATCCCTTGCATA